ATCCATATGCAAACTACACCCTCATGTATTTTCTTTTCATTGAGACTTACAGAGCCCTGGCTGGATAGGTCTATGCGAGCAAAATCACTTGAAGCAAATATAAGGACTATCTTTGTCTTCTAGACAAAGTGAAATAAATATATATTTGTTCAAATTTCTATACAGAGATATATTCATTATGTAAGCTCAGACTGCTCTTATTTTACTTTTCCAGATTGTCTTTCCACTAATAAAATTATCACTTGTCCCAAAAGAAAAAAAAAGACATTTGTCACCATGCACACAAGCCACAGCCATAATAGTGTTGGAAATATGACACTAATGACCCTTTCCTTTCATAAAATGTTATAAATAAAAAAAAAATGTTGATAGGGGCGAGAAGTTCTCCCTCATGAACTTGGTTATTGAAGGTTAGCAAATTTGAAACACCTAAATGACGAGAGAAGAATGCACGCAAGCCCTAATGCTTGGCTGACAATGAATTCTACTCAGGAAAGACAACTTCAAATCTTCCACAAAAAATCAAAAGGAATGGCACCAATGATGCGGAGTTACAGGCCATCCATATAGGGGTTTGAAATATCATTTACATGCGCATTCATCATCTATGCATTGAAGTCAATTCTAAACATTTAAAAGGAGGGTACATGCAATCTCTCTATTTCAGGATGGAAGTTTAGAAGGGAAGTAGCTTGTATCCTTAACATGCAAACAAGCAAGCACCTTCTACCAAATCAAGTTCACACACATTTACTGTGAAGGCAGTAAGGTTGGAGACCTCCTAGCCAGTATGGGGGTTAATCCCACTGCCATGCAGATATGACAACACCGCCTCTCCAAAGATCGAAACCCAGTCCCCTTTTGATTGATTATTTTCTTCCCATAATGTATTGATACTTGTAGTGCTCGATATTTTTAAATTAAGGGTAACATAAAAGGGAAGCGATATGGTTATTTTTGCTTTATTAATGACCTTAGTCACAGACTTTTGTTTTCCTCTCCAATGGCATTTTGCGTTGCCCTTCTTTATACTATTTTTTTGTTAATACATTAATACAATGAGCTGGTCCTCAGAAAACCTGGGCTTATCTAGACCAACAAAAAAAAAGAAACAAAGTAATGGGATGGGTTAGTTCAAGAACCTAAAATTGCCCAATTAAAAAGAGACTGAACCAAACTTTTGAATTGAAGGATCTTTTGTGGGTTGGTCCCTCAATTCAAATGCCCCTAGCATATCAAACATAAAGACCCATACCACAAACTAGAAATGTTACCAAGACTGAAAAGCCGAAACTGAAACTGAGTTGTCGAAATTTGAAAATGCCCAACCTAACTTCTGAATAGAAGGATATTTACTAACTTGCATGTCGGTCTCCTGATTGACATGCCTACCATATCGAGGATAAAGACCCATTCACAAGTCAGCAATGTTATTAAGCTGAACAAGACCCCGGTTTCACCACAAACCAGACATGAAACTAGTCAAGAACCAATCAGACCTGCTCAAAAACTGTTGAACGGCATTTCAAAAAATGTTGGCGCCTAGGTGGCCAGGGTGGTCCAGCCCACCCATCACCCAAGCAGGCCCCTAGGTCAGTGCCCAAGGATCTGGGCGGCCCAGGTCCAAAAGGGCGACAGGGGGCCTTCAAGAATCTTGTTTTAGGAGAATTTTTTGTATAAAAAAATGCATATTCAGGCATTTTTATTTAAAATCAGGTCAAATCCAAAACAAAGCACATGACAAAGTAATAATAGCATGCTAACAAATCATAAAATATTAAAATCCCATGATCCAAATTCCAAAGTTCTAAATCAAAGTCATAGCCTTTATGCCCGATCTTCAATCTTCATTTTTTGAGATGCTTGCCACTCTCAAAAAATCGTTAATAAATCTCTAATCCAAAATGTATAAAATGAATCCAAAACAAAAGGATGATGTTTGGATCAATTTTAAGAAACTTCAAATTCGAAGTTAAATCCAATCAAATTCAAAATTTCCTCCTTTTTTTTGGGACTCTAGAGGTTCAAAATACTTTTAGGGGTTAAGACAATTCCCCCACCTGTCCCCCCCCCCCCTCCCCTTATTTGGTGGAAAACTGATTGTACCCCTACTCGATGGGCATTTTCGCCACTAGGCAGGTCAGGTCTCTAGGCACCCAACGCCTAGCTCTAGGTGGCGCCCAGGGACCTAGTGCCTGGATGGCCCGCCCAAGGACCTAGTGCCTAGATGGGCCGCCCAGGCCTAGCAATGGCTGAGGGCCCGCATGCCCGCCTAGGTAATGGGCAGACTGTTTTTTGAATTACTATGTTGAACCACCAGCCAGTCAAACTAGCTTATACCAATTTTGAGTTTTGGCTGGTTATTATGATCTTTTAAAAAAAATTAAACCTTTTTTAGGCCATTGAACTATGATTCCGATCAATTTAGATAAGATTTATAGTTGAGTTAGTCTGCTCTCTCTCTTATATAACTTATGGATTCAACACCTCAAACTAGATCACCTCTGGTATTGACCTTCACCATGCTCCCACTCTCATCTTCAACCCGGAGGAAGATGGAGGCAAGGATGGCGGTATCAACTACAATATGAAGTGGGATTTCCTGCCAAATATCTTACCTTGATGTCCTTTGTTCTCATTTTGCAGTTGCAAATAGATTGATTGCATCTTAATTTGAGAAAAGGAAGTAAAATTCAGTGAATGGAGAAGCTATTAGTTGCAATCCAGATCTGAAAAATCAGCAGATCCCTATCTAAAGGTGAGTTCCAAGTGCATACTCGTCCAAGAAACAAGATAAGTCCCAGTTACGCTCATGGTATTTGCTACACCACTCTATCATCTTGTCTCAAGGACATCAACAAGGCATCCAGATCCAACCGCAATAGGCAATTCCAAAATCGGCACAATTTAAAAGTTAACATTCAAGGCTACCATTAGAATATTTTTCAAATATTGGGAATGACATCAAGCTTTCCATAAAAACAGCCAGTCTTTTCATATGCTTACTAGAGAGGTGAGCGCAATGAATAGGTAACTTTGGGGTTAATTAGTGGGGTTAGGCTAGCTCAAAAATTAAAGGCTGTGGTCTGTATAAGGTGTCAACCTTAATCAATCAAAGTGAGGCAAACCTCTAAATCTTGCAATAAAATGCAGTTTCAGTGCCCGAAACCCTTATGAGGACCTAAAAATCTATTTGCACCCCTAATTATAAAATTTCAAGTTCCAAAAATAGTGTAGATCAAGCAGATATATAAACACTTAAAAATTTTGAAATGAAAAGTCTAGATAATGTGCTACAAGATGCACTATTTTTAGTTTTAAAATTTTGTTTTCTTAGTTTCATATCTAACATCTCAAGGTCAAGATGATCAATTGCAGGGTTTTCTGACCTCGGAAAAACTTTGTTGGTTGGATTTTTCTGGTACCCTTATTTCTAGAATGTAAGGTTTAACGCCTTATATAAACTTTTTCCAAAATTAAAGTTTCACATGAACAATTAAAAAAATACTAATTTATTTGCTGGAGGGTTTGACGACCTCTTAGTTGTCACAAGAACAAGTGTCAATGAACACTACTCGCTTAGCTTGAACAACAAACTTTCAAAGGGATCCATCCATGTTATGATTCATTCTCTTTGTTTTGAAAGCAAGCATTTACTATAAAAAATTGTTTAGACAGAATTGAGTGAAAGGTCTATGCAATTATTGGCCACAAACAACTCCAACAACCAAGAAACAGGTCGCAGTGCTAGCAATGAAGTCCCGATGTATAGTTCTAATTCTTAAGAGAAGAAAACCATGCTAGACACTAAGGCAGTACAACACTGGAAAACGGTGGAACATGTATAATGCAAATTCATATTTTTCAATTCCCATTATAATTGATCGAAAATAGCATAACTTATAATCTGATTATGCATTGTAAACACGATCCATTAAAGTTAGTAGCAAGACATGACAATCCAATCAATCATACATTCAACATCTGCTCATAAAAAATTTCAACAAAGAGAAACAGCTTACCTTCACCAAGAAGATGATAAAGCCTAACAACATCACCACCTCCACAAAATGCCCTGCCGCTACCCTTTAGGAACCCAACAAGTAGAAAGGTCAACTATTAAAATTTCTTTTCTTATAATTCCCCATGCTATTGAATGATAACGCTTTAAGGACAATACAAATATCACCAAGTACAACTGTAAACAGCCAAACATTGGGAGTAAATGAAATTTGGGACAAGTATACTATCAGCATAAATGGATGATATAGAAACTCAAAAGCAATAATCTTTACAAACCATACAAAATAACCAAAAACATCAACAAGCACAATTTACCTTCAAGACTACAAAACCTATATCTGGGTTTTCTTCCCATGCTTCGTACAGCTTCCTCAGCCGCAGAATCTGAAAGTACATAAACAGCATTTACTTAAAAAGAAAACGGGCATGCTTATTCCATAACTCACCACATTAGTTAGTGTTCAAAGAAAACAACTCCAACCATTAATCACACTCTTCAGCTCTCAAAAGAGCTATCATTTCATCAAAAAGAATAAGAATTGCAATGTGAAGCAATAATTGAAGAAACCACCAAACGCATGATTTGCAATAACATTAACTACAAAATACGCACCAAATGCCCAGAGAGATAGATAGATAGAGAGATAGATAGATAGAGAGAGGTCCATGAATACCATATACAATGCAGCATTCAAAATATGGAAAATGGGCCAGAAAAAGATGGGAAGAATACCATTGAAGTGGTGAAAGCATTGAGAGAAGAAGTCCTGTTAAGGACCACAGTTCGAGAATGAGCACGACCTTCCACTAGGACCTAAGCGAGGCCAAGGCATCGTTAGAAAGAGAGAGAAGGAGAGAGAGAGGCAAATACAAATAAACCCCTGACCTGATTCAATGCATCATCATGAGCGATGTTGGGCTGCGAAGAAATGGCTCTGGTCTGATGGATGAAAAGTGGACAGGAGCAAATACGCCTCGTTAGAGATTTTAGTGGCACCATTTTATGCCTCTGTCACAGGTTCAAAATACTAAGGCTGGTGAGGAGATGGTGGAGAGAGAAAGAGAAAAGGAGAGAGAGAGAGAGGGTACCTAGTATCAGGGCTCAGGCAAAAATGAGAGATGGAGAGAAGCCGCCTTTCAAATGAAGGACGCTGCTTCACTCTTCCGCCTTGGGGTTGAGCCTTGTATAAGAGCATTAAGAAATAGGGGTTTTTCAGTAGGGTTAGATTTGCAGTAAGTTGCGAACAATCAAACTTAAGCGCACCTTCAATACGTCATAAGCTGCAAATTTAGTAACTAAAATTTGTAGGAGGGTGCGATTTGTATAGACCCTAGGCTCTAATCAATCAAATTAGAGCTTACCTTTAAATGGTGTTAGAAATGTAGTTTCAATCCTATAAATTTTTGTGATAGCCTTAAAATATATTTTTATCTTTATTTATAAAATTTAAAGCTTCAAAAATAGTATAGATCGACATATCTATGAAAACTTAAAAATCTTTAAAATTGACTGTCCAAAAATGCATTACAAAATACACTACTTCTAAAACTTGAAATCTATTTTTTTTCTGATGTCCATACATCTTGTTGTCGAGATGATCCATTTGAGGATATTTGGACATCAAAACAACTTCTTCTAGTGAAATTTTTTAGTTAGGCTCAAATTTAATTGTTTAGAGCCTCGGCTCTATATAAATTTTTCCCTTTGTAAGATAGCCTAAGAATTTTGGAAATGAACGAGTCCAAATAATGTGATGTAAGATGTACGATTTTTAGAACATGAAATCTTTCTTTTTTTTTTCATATTCATACATTTCAATGTTGATATGATCAATTAAAAGGTTTTCTAATATCAAAAACTTTTTCACATGATGTTTTGTGGGGCACCTTAAATTTACAATTTAAGGTGTCCACCTTATATAAAACCTCTTGCTTTTCGGTAATACACATGTATACTAAACCTCGTGATTATATGAAATTTGTGGTCACGTGGGAGAGATTATGTGTCATAATCATCATCATCAAAGTCTTTTCCCGTGTATACTACATATTTTTAAAACCACAATTGTTGTTCACCCACAAATCTTTGTTGGAACATTTGATTGGTGATTTAGATCGTGATTGGATTGGTGATCTAAAAAATATTTTAAAAAGATAGAGTTAAATACAAAAAAAATAAGGATTTCTGGTGTAGGCATTAAAATTAACCTTAAAAAACATTATACAAGCATATAAAAAAAAAAAGACAAAAATATAAGTGGGGGTAGTTTTAGGGGAACCAGGCCAGAACCCATACCATACTGGACTTGTTTGGTACCAACTAATTTCTATTCAAATTGGCAATCCAAATTGACAATCACCAATACACTACTTCACACATCATTACCATTCCTCAAGGTGATGGCATATTCTGGAAGAAAAAGTGATTCAGGACCACTTCTTCATATCAGTAGATTTTAGGGTTTCTATTTCTTATTGAGAAATGAACCCCCTTCTCCAGTCTTTGAAGTTACTTACTTTCGTTGGATGTTTCAACTATGTTATGCACATGCTTATTCATGCATAACAAATCTCTCTTGCTCCCTCTGTCGTTTGAAATCTCAGTTTTTGGTTAATATAAATCACCAGTTTTAATAGGTTCTTGCAATGTTTGTTTGTATACTGCACGTAGTTCTTGATCCTCGAGTAGATTTGCTTTATTTTTCTTATTATAAAGAACTAGAACTATTTTCTCTCTTCTCTCTAGATTAAATGTGTTGTGATTATATTGGATATGATTATTTTGATAAGCTTTACTTGCTAAATAATGCTGCCAAGTGTTTTGAAATGGCCATTTGATATTTATCACTAGGAAATGCTTTCTAAGCATTGTGACAATTAAGGGTTAATTTGGATGTATCCAAAATTAGAATATTTTAAAATTACAAGAGAAAAAGATTGAGATAGCAATAGGAACCGTTTGGATAATCCCATTGGATTTTATTCCCCATCAAAATAAATTATCACGTTGGGCCAAATTTGCCCAAAAACGTGACGCTCACAATTTTTTTTTTTCCCAACCTTCCCGCTTTCAATCGTACTTTCCCCAAAACCTTCCCACTCTCAGTCATACCTACAAAAGCCTATCTCCCACTCTCAAGCAGGCTCAAAAAAGTTTCAGAGGCAAATGTTTTACAACCTCAAAACATTAGCAGAGGAAGTATGTAAAAGACGTCTTAGATGAAGGTTTGTAAAGGAGGTCTCTCTTTTGCCCATCCAAGGTACTCTCTACTCTCTCTCTCATAATAATATTGAACTTCTCAATCCTTCATGTTGTTTCATAGCTGCTAACTCAGAGAGAAATAATTCCCTTTGAAAACCCAAATTAGGGTTTTTAAATCCAAAAGGGAATAAACTGAGTAAAACCTAATTCCTCTATTCCAAAATAATTTCCTTTGAAAACCCAACTTAAGGTCGGTTCTCTTTCTCTCTTATCAAATCTTGAACTTAAATGGAAGCTCTCTGTATCTATCCCATCAGTCGTCCCTCTCTTCGTTCCCAATATATCTCTTTCAATAGAAACGAGAAATTGCAGGTTTTCAACTCTAGCTTACATGTTTGGCTGCTATATAGACTCCTCCACCTATGAAGTTGTTATGTATCTTGTAAAGTATGAAATTAGATGGTTCGAATCCTTGTTATGGATGGCAATTTTTTATGAAATATTACTTCGCACTCATTATTGTCTTTGTTAAATGTATGTTGATACAAAGTGTTTCGAAATTGAGCTTGGACTTCATTGGTTTAATTGTTGACAGTTCCAACACTATGTTCCATGTTATTCTATCATTGTGTGTAACCTGGACGTTGCATTCTGAAAATACTTTGCAGCAATGTTCCTCTGAAAACACTATGTGTAACCTAGACGTCTCATTTTGAAAACACTATGTTCATCTGAAAATACAAAACATTGTGTGTAAGGGGAAAAGGATATGTCGTATCGATGTTTTTGAGAGGGTAAGGGGAAAAGAAAGAAAAAAATGGCAGAAGCCTTGGTTATTCTAACTAATACCTTTAAAAAGCCTACTGAATTACTTAAAAGGGAAAACTTTTGTTGCAACATTAAAATGTAGAATAACATATGCACCTCAAGAATCACATACAATTTTCTCTGATTATCACACAAAAAGTCAGTATTTTATTTACTTTTTTGTATTTTATTGTTTTCTACTTATATTGATGAAGTAGCTAATATAACTTCATATAATGTACTTTGATTTTCACTTGTGTTTATAGTTTTATATTGATTTTTATGTATCCTTTTTGTTACTGGTATTGTTCTAACATTGTTTATTCTAGTTTAGTTATGATGTTGATTATACCTAAACCCTACTGATTTTCTTTTTTCTTTTTTTATTTTTCCGTTTTCTGGGTTCTTACTCTTTCTGTTTATATCTTTTTAAATGGTACTTCATATATCTTAATCTAAATGCCCGAACTCATACATTACTTTCAAACCCCTAAATCTTGTGATTTTCCAATCCTAGGATTTTCTGGTGGACGTAATGTTTATTTGATGGAGCTAGTCATCTTCTATTGTATGAGATGTCATTGATGAAGTGTTCTTGACGTAGGCTATTGAGCTAAACATTTATGAATTCCCTGCATGAGTTATAAGCAAGTTATTTTTTATTATTGTTTTTGTACAGATTTCTCCATAAATGTGTGACAGCTTTGAGTTCGTTCTATTGACTATTTGCTTTGCTATTTGATCCCTTTTAAAATTGTTTATATTTGAACTGTGATACATGTGAACTTCTATAGCATCCATTTTACATAAAGTCAAGATTGTGTGATAATTTGACAAGTGTTAGAGGGTACCATTCAGCCTAGAGATGTCAGAACAACCCCCTACCTCTCAAGATCCAACCAAGGCAAATTGGATTGCAACTCACGATGAATTCATGGTTGAACGATTGAAAAATTTACATTTCACTGGAAAGCGGTCTGATATTGGATAGAAGAAAGAGGATTGGAGGTCTGTCTTGGTTGCATTTAATAAAAATTTGAATGTTCAAAATACCATACAACAACTAAAAACTCGATGGGCTACACTTAAGAAGCAATATTTTATTGCAAAGAACCTTATTAATCAAAGTGATTTCGGCTGGGATAACAATGCCCATGCTGTAACTGCTCTGAATGGTGTGTGTGATCGTTTTCTTCAAGTAGGTTTTTAGTGTTGATTATTCAATTCTTTATTTTCTTTGGTTGTTGCAAGAATTTAGTTATGCAAGATGTTTGGAAAACTCACACATCTAAGCAAATAGGCCCATCCTTAAGCAAAACCATTTCGAAAGGTGAGCTCTTCCCTTTATGATCAACTTGCCATACTAGTAGAATGTAAGTTTTTCCATTCTATTAATAGTATTTATTTAACTTTATTATATTGCACTACAATTCTCATTAGAATATGACATTTTATGCCTATAGGTAAACATGCCACAGTAGAGTAGACATCCCATTTTGTGTTTTTATTTTTATTTTTGTGGGGCGCTCTTAATTAGTGACTTGAAGAACTTCCTAATCTCTGTATAACTTTTGGACCTGAATTTTTTGAGTAACATGTATGAAATGGTTGTTGATTTTTAGGGCATGTGTGAAATGTTTGTTGATTTTTACTTATCCTTTTCCCATTGATTTATGCTCTTAGAGAAAATAGCTTTAATGTGTAAACGCATATGCACTTCTAATACACTCTTCTAGGTTAGATTCTAATGCACATTGACTCAATTTTGTAGTAGATGTTTATTTGAGTTAGATATAGTCCTTCAATAATGCATTTGTTCGCATAATTTTTTTTCAATTTCGTTAGAATATCTTTCATTTATTTTATACAGTGAAGGCAAGCATATCAACAAAGAAACATGATTGAGATGGAATTAGCCAAACGACATGAGAAGCAACGGCATAAGTGACAGTTAATTCTTGCACTTGCTCTTTGCAGTTATAATGATATTTATGTAAACAAGATTCCTCTTCGGAATTCATCTCTATCTGGTTATGCATACATAGAAGAAATACTTAAAGGTCATAGGGAACGATGCCTTCAAGTTTGTCGTATGGAGTTAAACGTATTTCAAAACTTTTGTGATATTTTTTGAAGTAGACATCTTCTAAATGATACCCGAGGTGTAAAGGTTGAAGAGCAGTTGGCAATGTTCTTATATATCCTGGGGAAGAGCTCAAGCAATCGTATAGTCCAAGACTGGTTCCAACACTTAGGTGAAACTGTTAGTCGCCATTTTGAGAGAGTTCTCAATGCAATACATAAATTTTCATTTGATTATGTTCATCTACCTTCAAGTAGCACACTTCCAGAAATATGCAAAAAAAAGCATGTATTATCCTTTTTTCAAGGTACTTATTTTAAATTTAGGTAACTTTAGATAATTTTGGGAAATTGATGATTAATTTTAATTGAAGTTTTCTTTCTTTACTTTTTGAAGAATTGCATTAGGGCAATAGATGGTACCCATAGTCAAATGAGTAGTGGTGTTGAAGAGCAAGCTCCATATCGGAACAGGAAAGGCTTTTTATCACAAAATGTAATGGCAGCTTGTTCTTTTGACCTTCGCTTTGTACTTGCTAGCTGGGAGGGATCATCATCGGATTCTTCTGTATTAAAAGCTATACTAAAATCTGGTTTCAAGGTTCCTAAAGGTCACATTTATTTTCCTTCCTTAAAAATTTTATATTCCGTATATATATAACTTTTGTCATTTATATGCATTCAGATAAATATTATCTCGCCGATGCAGGTTATGCGAAAACATGGAACTTCATAGCTCCATTTGGGGGTGTGAGGAATCAGTTGAAGGCTTATGGTCAGGGAAATTTAGCCCCACGAAATGCAAAGGAACTCTTCAATCTTCGGCATTTATCTCTTCAGAACGTTATTGAATGTGCATTTGGTGTGTTGAAGAAAAGATTCCCTATTTTGAAAGTGGCAACAACATATCCTTATGAAACACAAGTTAAGATTGTCGTTGCTGTTTGTACTTTCCATAATCATATCCGAACTATAACAGGTGGTGATGATTGGCTCTATGAGGAGTATGATAGGGATTTTGCACATGGATCAGTTGAAGGAACAAATATTCAACATAATGATGTAAACCCTCAACCTGATAAAAATGATGGCGATGAATTGCGAGATCATATTGCTAAAGCACTTTGGGATGACTATTGTGCTCACCGTCGAGCATAATATGGCACATAGATATAACTGGTTGTAATCATATTCTCCACTACTCTCTTTTGCACTTCGAATTTTAATATTAATTGCTTGGGTTATCGTTCATGGGTTATGCAAATGGTGTGAAACTCTCACTTTTAAACATATATAATTGTTCATTCTCCTCTCTATGCCCATGGAAAAATTAATATTTTCCCAAATCATCTGTTTATCAGACGCATGAAAGAACTAAGGTAAAAATCAAGGTTGGCCAAACATTTTTATGTAATAAGAAAAAAAAAACAAAAAATACGAATTTAGAATTTATTGCAACGAATCCAAACAGACATATATGGCAAATCAAATTTTCTCATTATATTTCAATAGACATCCAAACAATCTACCAACGTAATAAAATAAAACAATAATGTTTCTCAATTGAGGGGAAAAAATTGCAATTTTTTTCAATGTGAATATGTTTTTCTTTGACATCAAAACTGGGCCTAAACTGATGAGTCGCTCATGTTTTAATATTCATCTATCTAGTTTCTCAAAACCCAAAAAAAAAAAATATATACAATGAGACCATTTACCTTTGGTACAAGGAGGTCGCAATTAATCTTGACCATTGGATGTGAAATTGGGTGGTTATATTTATTCCATTAAACCAAACTCAAAGCTTAAAAGAAATTTCTCAAATTTTTTGACACGTCCAAGCTATCAGATTTCACATCGGATGGTTATAAGTAACTGTGACCTCCTTGTACCAAAGATAAATGGTCTCATTATATACAATCCCATTAAAATATACCAACATGTTGGTACATGCAAAGAGTGGTAAATGCTTTCTTATCCACTTCATTGCATTCAACATCCTTCATGCTTTAGGGTTCCTAGGAATTTCTTGGGGTGTTGTATATGGACCTTCTTGTATCAATATGTCATAAACTTTTAATTTCCAATATCTAAAATGTTTATTCTCATCAAACTTCTCCATTTTGAACTTGTAGATTGTCATTTTTCTTAAATTATCACACACCGTAGAGTTTTCATATTTCTTGTTGGGAATCGAGCCTAGCTCAATTGCCCTTGGTTGTGGTAAGCCCCCTACTACAACAAATCCAATATCTTGAAACCAACTCGCTTATCACCAACAAATCAATCACAAAAAACTCAATCACAAGAAAAATATCGGTACAATTAATTTAGGAATAATAGCAGGAAAATAAGATAAGCAAAACAAGAAAACCAAAAATTATACCGGTATATTTTAAATTATAATCTAAACACCACCAACACACAAATATATGTTATTTACCCTAATTGGGCTATGTTTAGATGCAACCCGCAAGGATATGATCTAACATTATAATAAAAGAATTATGAAAGTTTGCTAAATACATGAGTTTCTTCAATCATCAAAGCACCATCGATTTCATCACCTACTATTGCCAATTTTTATTTCCACTGTGACTAAACGGGTATAGAACCAGACTCCATTATCAACTCCATCACAAGGACTCCACCTACAATAGAAAATGATGATGAAATTAATGTTGTCAGATTCGCTTTGGAGTCTTCTTCGGTTTGGTGAGAAAAACGAAGTAATTCGATGCTTTAGCCAATTCAGAGGAACTCTTTGGACCTTTTTTTTATTTTAATATAAGTAAATTAGATATTTATATATAAAAAATATAAAAATTAAAAATTAAAAATAAAATTTTCAAAAAAATAAAGAAAAATATTTGTATATAGATATTTATTTGCTTTGGCCGAGAGGCCAAATCGGCTTGAAGCTAACCCAAAGCTGACCGAAGCGGTGGCACCAAGCTTTGCTTCACTTTCATCTTCAACCTCTTCGACCAAAGTGAAACAAATTTCACAGCACGGGACGAAACAACCCAAAATAGGCATAATGAATACTAGGGTCTTACCCAAAACACCCATCCCAAGTCTCAACCTCAACCAAGGCTCTCCCTCACAATCTACTTTCTCTCTCTAAAAAATGGTATACAAAACCCCATTTAAAGTGATATTCATAATAACAAAACTGCCATTCCACACATAACAATGAAAAATTTTATAGGCTAACATAACAAGATAGGTTGTTTTGATGCCTAATTATTCTCAAATTGATCATCTCGGCCTCAAGATGCATGGATATGAGAATATAATGGATTTCAAGTTTTGGAAATAGTGCATCTAGTAATGCATTTTTTGACCATCAATTTTTTAGACTTTCTAATTTTCATAGATCTGCTCAATCTGCATTATTTTTTAAGGTTTAAATTTTATAATTAAAGATGAAAATATATTTTAAGGCTATCACAAAGATTTTCAGTATTGAAACAACATTTCTCGACACTATTTGAAAGTGCACTTTACTTTGATTGTTTAGAGCCTCGGCTCTATACAAACCACACTATATATATAATGTATGAATTTGTACTTTCTCTTAAAAAAACCACTATCTTGCATCTTTGTTGCAAAAAATAGAAGAGGAATCTACAATTCAGACACATGTGGTTTTTAAGAACCATGTCCTTAATAAAGATATTAAATAACATTTAAATTTTTTTTAAGAATCATGATGATGTACATGTGATTTTTTTCATAAAATTTGAAATTTGTGGTATTTTAAGCTGTGTGACTTGAAACAACTAATACAAATAGTGCATATTTTCCTAATTAATTTTGAAATTTGTTGTACTTTTGGGAAGTTTTGTAAGAATTCAAATAATAGACTTGATTTTTGAAATAAGAAAAATAGGTAATATCCATTAGCACCAAGTTAAGGAGGTTTGAATAAAAAATGAAAAAACAAAAAACATTTTGGGGGAGGAGTTGTAGGCATAAATTTTAGTCGATGACTAATTTCAACAAAAATATAAAATAGAGTACCTTAATATTGGGTGAGTGTGGCCATTCTAGGTGACCTTGGCCCATCTCTAGGGGAGAACCTAAAATCCACATAATGGGATTGAAACCCCTTGGCTCATCGGCCAGACTTTGATGACCCACTAATGAGCCACTACATGGACTATAAGTCATGAGAAACACTAGATCGGTTTGATAAAGCAAGTGTGGTTCGTAGTTCATAGTTGAAGGTGGAGTGTCCCAATATTCTACTAATTTAATTCCTAGACCATATGGATCATTTTCCCATCTAATGAATTTAATTATATATTTTTTATTATATATATGATTTTAGAATTATTATTTACATTTTTTTAGTTTTAGATCTCTAGATATTTTATTTATCAAATCTAGATTTATAAAAGCAGATATGTTGATTTTACATTGATTTAAATATTCAAATAAATTCTAAAATTATTTTTTTGAGTTTTTAAAAATATTTAAAATTACATGGGAGCCCATTGTGCACATGGGCCCACCATGGTCTAGATGGTGGGGCCCCTGAGATCCTCTCATGGGTGGCACACTCCACCCATTTAGAAGCTTTCTATTTTTGTGATAAGCGATTTTGGCTTGTAGGCCGAGTTGTTTTTTTTTTTTGGAAAGGTATTAGCTTGAGGAAGCTTTGAATGAATTTTGAAAAAGCATGCGAAGGTTTGTGCATTATTTTGGTATACTCAATATTATATTTGAAATTATGTTATTTAATTTTTATTGATGAAAAAATGGTTTAAAAAATGGGGATAAAGATTCTAGCACCTTCCATAATGTCGATGGCCCATCTATGGAATTAAGGGCTCAAATCTCTCACCCCACAAGTCACCCATGATCAATGGTTTACATTCAATCTCATATGAGAGGCAAGCCAATAAAAACCCTAATTTTGTCTCTACCAAAAATATCTACACCTTATCTTTCTATCTCTCTTCTAAGAAAGTTTATCTCTCTCATGAAAGCCAAAGGGGGGCACACCCCACTCTGACATCTTTGATCTCTCTCCTCACATTGTGAAGAACCTAAGGGTTTAAGCTATGATGTTCTTCTCTCTCCCATCTCTCAATAATGGATTTATGGCTAAGGGTTTTAGGGTTTAGCAAAAAGAGAATCCATCTCTCTCAAACTAGGTTGCTAAGGGAATTCACTTAGGGTTTGAGTTTGTGATTAAAGGGGTTCATATTCTATTGGTGTGACTTGATTTAAACTTGCTTTCCCAGTTGAGATTGAAGGTTGATCATTGATCCCGCAGTATTGGATGATGGTGACTCGGTGTAGGGTGTAATAAGCCCGATTGAAGTAATCTCCAGTACTCTCGTTTTTTTTTCTTATCATATTTAATTATATTGTCTTTATATTCTCAAGCATAAGAATTGTGGATATTTTCTTTGTTTAAAGAAAATTGGTTTAATGGCATCAAATGTTTTTAAGATATTAGATTTGTTAGTTTAATTTTCTTTGAAGCAAGAGCTATTGTAATAAGACTACTTGTACGTGATCGTTGCTAGAAAAAAAAAGAAAACAAAAGGGGTGAAAAGAAGAAAAATAAAAAAAATATATTCCCTAACAATATCACATTAGTCTTTCTTTCACTTAATATGAATGAGACAGAGATAGAGAGAGACTTTGCATATGATAGAAGTAATGGTAGAAACATAAAAAAAAGAAAAAAATTCATGCTCACGTAACACATGTGGCATCTATTGGACACATGTGTCACATATGGGTCATGGGGGTCGTATCTTCCTTTCTTATTTTTACAAAACAAATTTCTAAAATTCAATTTTTGTTTAGAAAAATTCTCATTTTTTTTTAAATCATTCACTTTCATTTTTAACAAGTTTGGCATCAAATAAAACTATTAAGGAGATAAATTAGGATAAATTGGGTAATAGAGCACTCCACTTGGCTAGACCCAGAATCCAACCTTGTTTTCTCATAATTGTTTGGTGAGTGTGGCCATTAAAGGCCTTATTAGTGCTTGTAATGAAACGTTTTGACTTAATGAAATATTTTGATATAATAGAACATGAACTCAGTGGGAGTGTGGTCCCTCATGGACCATGCTAAGCAAATAACATTCACTCATACCGAACTGTGCTCGCAGTTTAGGCTAGTCTGTT